TAAAGCCCAGTTACTGATGCCTTTGAATCATTTAATGAGAGAGCTGGAAGGGTCCTTTATGCATGAAGTGTAGCCCCCTCATTCTACAAAGTGCATGGAGCCTAGGAGAGGGAGATGTCTTTCCTAACATGACGTAGACATTAAATGTGAGGCCTGTCCTCTGGTCCCTAGCCAGAGCTCCTACAACTTTACTAAGATGTTTTCTTCAATAAATATCAGTCTTTCTACTGATAGGCTGGTTGCCAATAGAAGCTTTCTTTAAAAATCAGCTCAAAAAGAACCCAGCACAGGTACTGTTGATTTAAGAGTTCCACAAATGCTTTAGCTTCTAAAGCACTCCAGGATTCTTGAGGATTGAGTTGCCTTTGAATCCCCAGCCATACTCTGCTTTCATCTGAAGTTTGGATCAAGGAGTGGATCTTTCAGGATATCTCAGCAATGACACTTTTCCTTCTGTTTTGAATCTCACTTTTTTGAATTAGAGAGGCTCCCAGCAAGCAACATGACCAGATGTGAAGATCATGGAGACCAGAGCCAGTACACCTCCTGGATTCCAGTCTGGGCCCTGTGCAGTACTGGTTAGCTAACCTTAGAAGAATGGCTTATTTGCTCTGGCCATCAGTGCTCTCACTTGAAAAAAAATGCAATCTGCCTGTGTGGCTGGATGTTTCTGAGAACTATATCATAGGATATAGGAAAATGCTTGGGAAAGAGTGAAATGTTCATTCAACAACTACATCTTTAATGTCTGCTATAGTCCAGGCTTTTTGTCAGGCACAGGAATACAAACATGAATAAGACATCATCCTTGCACTCGAGGAACTCATGGTCCAGTGGGGAAGACAGACTCAACAATGACTATATTTTACGTGGTAGCCACCCTGATGGGGGAGCAATGGATGCCAGGAGCAGAGGAAAAACACCCACCACGTGTTTGCAGAGAGTAAGTCAGCAAGCCTTCCTGGAGGAGATGATATTTAGGCTCAGACAATTTCAACAATATACCACAGTTACCACCAGTGCCACTGCCATCACTGGCTACCCTTTATTCAATGTTCATTCTGTCTGAGGATTCTGCTGGGCCATTTGTAGACATTTGCTCATGTATGCAATCCAGGTCAAGGTTGTTATCTTCATTACACATATGATTAAACAGAAACCCAGAGGGGTTTTTAAAAAAGAAATCTTAAAGTCACACAGCTGGTAAGGAGTACAGCCAAAACTTAAGCCTAACTGACTTCCAAAGCATCTAGTCTTCCCAACATAACCTCATTGTTCTGTGTTATTCTGTGGGGCAAGGCTTAGACTGATGGAGAGAGTCACTGGAAGACAAATTTCAGCTAAAGACAGGGAAGATTTTCTTAACAGAGCTTTCTAAGAATGGGATAAGCTGTTTGGGGGGATGGTGAGTACCAGGGCCTGGCGGTGTCATGGAAAAAGTGACTTGGCCAAGACTTTGCTGAAGGCATTCTTATTTAGAAGAGGGAGAAGTAAGTGAGCTAACCATCTCTAAGGATACAGTTGTTTATGACTAAATCCTGTTATCAATGACAGTGTTCCCTTCCAAATTTTTAGGTGCTCAGTGCAGGCTGGAAAAACTCTGTGGGAACAACACCTAGATCAATGGTTTCACCTGCTTGGTGACCAGCCATTGAGAAGCAGACAATATAGAGGACCTGCTGGAGTTTTCCATAAATTTGCCCACAGAACCATACAGTTAGGGATGCTTTCAGTTAAAGAAATAGAGACAGACCCTTCTACTTAAACAAAAAAAAAATGAAATTTATTGGAAGGGGCTAACAGAATGAAGCAGAAGCTGGAGGTCCAGATTTGGAAAAAGACCAACTAACAGAGTAGCTCTGGAGGACAAAAATAAATGGCTGTTGGCAGGAATAATCTGCCTCTGTTCCACCACAGCACTGCTGCGTGACCCAACTGCCAGCCTCACATCACCTGATCCAAGTTTAAGTCCTGGGCAGAAGTAGCTGTGGCCTAAGTCTGGGTTTCTTGCTGCTCCCCTGCCTGCCAGGTCATCTGGCTCATCTCTCTTGTGTGGTAAGAGAAAAGGCACCACCACAGTCTCAGCATCTTGTAATGATAGAGGAATGAACTCTCCCCAACTCTGCTCCATCTCACAGTTAGATGCTGGCATTGGCAGAAGAAAATGGACAAACGCCTATGACATTAGGAGGGAACAGAGCATGGATATGAACTCAGATCTGCCTGATTTCCAGACTGGGGGAGAAAGCCAGGAGGTCATTCCTGACCGCCACTGTCCACTGCCCACTCCAGCCCCCTGATGGATCTCAAATCTATCAGTTTATGCTGCGCATACATCGCGTAGCACAAAACCATGGCAAAGTACAAGGGGACAGTGTAACCTTGTTGATTGCCCCCACGTGCCAGAACCTGTGTAAAGTTAAACTCGTTACATGTATTATCTCATTTAATCCTCATCATGGGGTTCTGAATTGCAAATGGATATGAGCCTGTGAGCAGATCTTCTTTCTCTAGACTATGTTAGACTGTGTTTCTTGTGAGCATGCAATTGTGAGAATGTTCATAAGCTGATCATGACTTCACCTGTTCTCTCAGGCTCTGTGCTTCAGTTTCCACATCTGCAAAATGGGAATAATAATAGCACTCTCTCATAAGGTTGACATTTAATGAAGTATTTCACACTTAGTAAAGTACTTAATTTTTGCGACAAACAATATCAGTAACTGTTCTGTTGACTGTGACCCCTTAATTGTGATGGTAATGATATTGTAAAATGCATATAAAGCTCTGTTTCCACTCCACCATCAGTGAGAAGCCAACATCAGCACTTGATTCATCTAAATACAGAAATGTGAAGATAAAACAGTGAACCTCCTTGCCAGGCATTGGAGGCCCTTACATTTCCCCTCCCACTCCCTTTACTATTCACTGTCACCACCTCCTCACTACATCCTCTGTGATTCGATCAAACCAAATTGCCCACCATTCCTCCAGAAGCCTGGGTGGCTTCATAATTCCTTTCTTTGTTTACACTTTCCCTTCTGCCCCCACCTGCAAGCGTTCGTTCAGTAAGACAAGTCAAGTGGCTTCTCCTCAATGAAGCCTTTCCCCATGTGTCCCTACAAAACATTAATTATTCCTCCATGGGGTTCCCAGCCCGCTTATTTTAAGAGAGGAAATTATTATTATTTAGTCTCCAACCACCTTGAAGGAGAGGTAGTCTTAGTGTTCCTACTGGTGGTCCCCAGTAGAGTCCTTTTTATTTTTTTTCTGAATAAGGTGAGAGGTGGGAATGTACATGTGATAAGTTTGTAGTAGTAATATAGTGTTAGTCACTCAGTTGTGTCCAGTTCTGAGAAACCACAGACTACAGCCCTCCAGGCTTCTCTGTCCATGGGATTTTCCAGGCAAGAATACCAGAGTGGATTGCCATGCCCTCCTCCAGGGCATCTTCCCGATCCAGGGATCAAACCCAGGTCTCCTGCTTTGCAGGCAGATTCTTTACGATCTGAGCCACCTGGGGGGTGGGGGGTTAAATTTTATTACTTAAGGAATAGAGGGAAGGGTTTGGGAAGCAAGATGGAATGGATTAAATAATAGGACAGAGGGATAGAGAGAGAAAAAGGGACATTTGGGCAAAGAAAGGCCATCATCAGTTTTAAATCTGATTAAAAATCTGCAAAGAGCAGAATTTTATCCTACAGGTGATGGAGAATCATAGATGAATCTTGATCAAGAAAGCATGATCATCAGATCTGTGTGGGAGACATTCTGGAGACAGGAGAAGGATGGACACAGTCATTTGAGTTGTGAGCAAGCACAGGTTTTCTGGAGTTGTCCCTCAGCCTGGGGGGCCCGGAGAGTGCCTACAGCATATGAAGGTCCGGCAGATGGAGGCACAGACCCAGAGACCTGGGGAGGTACCTCCTCCCAAGGACAAGTAGGGCTTTGAGTCAATCTGGAGGAAGAACAGGAGGAAGAGGGAGACAGGGAGATCAGAAGTCATGGTCCCACTTGTCCTAGTGAAGTAATGAATGTGCCCAAGGGAGGTCATGGAGAAGGTGGGCAGGGTGGCTCTCACTGAGCAGGTGATCTGTGAGCTAAGATTGGTGCTAAGTGAGAACGGATCCTGAACCTATCTGGAGGAAGAGGCTTCCAGGCCGAGGGGACAAGCTGTACAAAAGTCCTGGGGCTGGAAGTACCCAGTGTGTTGGAGGAACAGTAGGAGACCAGAATCTGGCACGGAAGCAACAGCGGGTGGTGGTAGGAGCTGAGCTCATAGCAGATAACAGAGGGGACCACATGGTCGCTTGTAGCTGGTGGTAAGGACTTTTGGCTTCTACTCTGCATCTAGTAGAGAACCATTTGAGCAGAAAAGGGCCATAATCAGACTTATGCTTTAATAGGATCACCCTGTTTATTGTATGAGAAATGAGAGATGGGTGTCTAGGATGAGGTAGGATGGGAGGTACAAGGGTGGAAACAAGACCAGGTAAGAGAGTATTACAGTACTGAGCTTGGTCCAAGCTTAAGGGGACAGTAGTGGAGGTGATAAAGAAGTGCTCGGTTCTGAGTATATTTTGAAGGTAGACACAATGGACTGGCTGTGAATGTGAGACAGGGAGGAACAGTGGGGATGCCAGTGGTTTGGGCCTGAGCCTTCTTTCTGGCCCTGTATAGAAGAAGCACATGCATCTATGGTCTCAGGGTGTGATCACGGAAGTGAGACGGCTCCACAGAAATGTTTGAACCTCTCCGTGACTCAGTTTCTTTTCCCGTCAAGTGAGGATTATAATAGCAGTGCCCTCATAGTGTTGTTGAAAGTAACTGAATTAATACATGTAAAAATATGCTCAGTGCTGTCTCTGGCCCAAAAAAAACAAAAAAAAGTGCACTAGGTAAGTGACATAATGACTGCTCCCATTCCTAACTGTATTTTGGAGAAGTGAGGAGCTTGACTTGTCCTCTGTGTACTGACTCAGACTTTGGATACTGCCTAGGTGCTCTCTGATGGGGTTTGACCTGAACCGCCACTGGCTGGATCCCTCCCCGTGGGCCCACCCCACCCTGCATGGGGTGAAACAGCTCATCATTCAGATGTACAACGACCCCGTGAGTAACTGAACCTCCTCAGCAATTGCTGGTCTGACGGCTTGATCTGGGAAAGGGGCGATGTGGTACCGGGACAGTCCACCAGGGGCTGCAAATGAGGAATTCAGGGTCAAAGTCAGGGAGGGACTAGGCCTTCTGGTCTCTTCTCTGAACTGGACAAGTGCCTTCCCACCCCTCACAAACACCAACTTCAGTTGTGGAGATCTCATGGGATGAAGGAAATATACCCACTTACAGTTGTCAGGGCTCTTGGGTTACAAGCAAAAGAAATACAACTTGAGCTAATTTACAAAGAAGAGAGATTTTTTTTTCCACTTATTTTTATTAGTTGGAGGCTAATTACTTTACAATATTATAGTGGTTTTTGCCATACATTGACATGAGTCAGCCATGGATTTACATGTGTTCCCCATCCCGATCCCCCCTCCCGCCTCCATCTCCATCCCATCCCTCTGGGTCTTCTCAGTGCACCAGCCCTGATCACTTGTCTCATGAATCCAACCTGGGCTGGTAACAAGAGAATTTTTTGGAATAATCCCAGAGCCCCATATAGGCAAAGACTGCAGTCTGGCCTCCTGTACCTGTAGGGAACATGTGCCAAGTATCACATCCAGCACTTCTTCCACTAGAAAGAGTGACTCAGTCTCATATTCTAGCTCCAGTTCCAGGTGGATTGTGCTTGGCCTGACTGGGAGGACATGGACACCTCTGGGCAAGGCAACTCTGGCCCAAGAGGCTAGGATCTGACAGGACAGAAGAGCCTCACCGGAGTCATGTAGCCAAACTTGCAGTGTAAGTTGTAGTGATGAACATATTCCCAGATAAAAGGACCTCCTATTCCAGGAAGAAGGGAAACGGGGAGGTCCACACTGAGTTTGTTCATGGGGCAAGACTGTGAGAAATAGGAGAAGATATTGGGGTTTCATAGCTGAGAGAACTCTCTGAAGAGTTATGAGAGAGGACAGACATCTTCCACTTGGAGCCAAAGCAAGAGGTAAGGACGATAGAGAAACTGAGCTTTTTAACCATTAGAGTTGCCCAGTGATGGAACAGGTATGTGAGCTGTGAACTTGGCCTTACTTAAAGTGTTCAACTTGAAGCTAAATGACACTGTCAAAAATAGTGCATGGAGGAGACTCAAATGTTTGGGAGACAATATAGTGAGATTACATCCAAGTCTCTTCCAACATTGATGACCGTGCCTTATGACCCTTGGCTGCCATCAGGTGACAGACATGATTGCTAAGACAGCAAAGGTTCCAGAGTTGGGGTATTTCAGTGATACACCTGTGTACCACATTTTACTTGCTTTCTTTGAAGATGCCAATAAGAATATCCTAAATTAAAGAGCAGTCTTTATTGGCCAGACAAAAATGTGTACATAAAAGCAAGTGTATTTATCTTGTTTTTACAAGCAAGGATTCGTGAAAAAGTAAGTGCTTAGGTGCAGAGTAGTTAACTCAACAGCCGTCTTGATCCTCCTCTGGGAGCTTTGCCTCACTAGATCTTTTACAGCCCGCCTGCCATCAGGGCTTACATAGCCACAGCTTTAGTATACCTGCTTCTTTCTCCAATTCACCCCTTCTTGTCTACAAAAGAAGCTGTTAGCTGTGCTCACCAACTCCGTTATTACCCTGAACTCTTGATCCATCCTGACGAGCTTTCCTGGCAGAGAGAAGATGCTTCTAAATTTTGAAGGAGGTGTCTGTTGTCAACTGAATTCTTCCCCTGTGTTAACTGCAGTGTTAACTGCAACCTCCCTGATAGACTCGCCACACCTCCTTTTTCTGCCATCTCCTTCTTAAAGAGAACAGCCCCACATTTTTTCTAATGTGGATAAAAATAGGTATTCAATAACTATATGTTGAGTTGAACTGGATTGAACATGGTAAATCCTATTAGGCCCACTGTAATATGGTTTATGGCTTTCATGGTGGCTCAGATGGTAAAGTGTCTGCCTACAATGTGGGAGACCCGGGTTCGATCCCTGGGTTGGGAAGATCCCCTGGATAAGGAAATGGCAACCCACTCCAGTACCCTTGCCTGGAAAATCCCACGGACAGAGGATCCCTGTAGTCTACAGTCCATGGGGTCGCAAGGAGTCGGACAGATTCCAAACAGCTATCCACAGAAGGGATAAACAGACATGACCAAAGAAAAGACATGAGACAGGAGAGATGACAGAGTGGGGGCCACGGAACAAAGTGGTGTTTTAGGTGAATCCCCAAGGAGAGAACTCCGGGTGGAACCAAAGGGAGGGTGTCAGGTTTGTTAGAGAGACCATCATCAATCTGAAGTCACTAATTTGCTCCCAGGCAACTGGGCACTTGATCCTGTTACAGAACATGATCAGGGGTGTCAGGGGTATTAGGATATTCTTTGTGCCATGAGTAGGTTGATCATCAGCAAGTTGGTGATCAACACACTTGGAAGCTGAGCGAGCTGTGGGAGCTGCCTTCTCCTGAAAGTCCACTCCTTTTCTCCCCAAGCAAGGATGTGGATGGGGCTCTAGCATGGGACCCAAACTGATCTGGGCCAGGACCCCAGTTCCCTCCATCTCTTACTCTCTTCTTCTCTTTCCCTTTGCCCAGAATCCTATTCCAGTCTTTCCTTCCTCTTCCCACAAATATTTATCAAGTAGTTTCTAAATACCAGATATAGTAATTGAAATAGTGAACACAACACTAACCCTTACAATCTAGTGGGGAAATGGACATTAAAAAAGTGTGTGTGTGTGCTCAGTCACTTCAGTCGTGTCCGACTCTTTGCAACCCCATGGACTATAGCCTGCCAGGCTCCTCTGTCTATGGGATTCTCCAGGCAAGAATACTGGAGGGGGTTGCCATTTCCTTCTCCAGGGGATCTTCCCAACAGAGGAATCAAACCTGCATCTCTTATGTCTCTTGCATTGGCAGGCAGGTTCTTTACCACTAGTGCCACCTGGGGAGCCCTATTAAACAAGTAAATATTGATAAATATTATAGATTTATAAATTTCGTTGTTGTTCAGTTGCTCAATTGTGTCCTACTCTTTGCAACCTAATGGACTGCAGCATACCACTTTTCCCTGTCCTTTACCATCTCCCAGAGTTTGCTCAAATTCATGTCCATTGAGTCAGTGATGGCATCCAACCCTGTTATCCTTTTTCATCCCCTTCTCCTTAGCCGCCTTGAAGGGGAATCCAGAGGGAACTCTATGAAATGCATATGTGTTCAGTCATATCTGACTCTCTGCAACCCTTAGCCTGCTAGGCTTCTCTATGCATGGGATTTTTCAGGCAAAAATTCTGGAGAGGGTTGCCATTTCCTCCTCCAGGGGATCTCCTTCCTTCAAGGGATCTTCCCAACCCAGAGATCAAACCTGAGTCTCCTGTGTCTCCTGCATGCAGGAGGATTCTTTAACACACTGAACCACTGGGGAAGCCCCATAAATTTTGCTAGGAGTTACCAAAAAAAAAAAAAAGAGAGAAAACTTACAGACTGTTATCTATGAGTTCAGGTCAGTTCAGTCCCTCAGTCATGTCCGACTCGATATGACCCTATGGACTGCAGCATGCCAGGCCTCCCTGTCTATCACCAACTCCCAGAGTTTACTCAAACTCATGTCCGTTTTGTTGGTGATGCCATCCAAGCATCTCGTCCTCTGTCGTCCCCTTCTGCTCCCGCCTTTAATCTTTCCCAGCATCAGGACCTTTCCAAATGAGTCAGTTCTTCACATCAGGTGGCCAAAGGATTGGAGTTTCAGCTTCAGCATCAGTCCTTCCAAAGAATATTCAGGACTGATTTCCTTTAGGATGGACTGGTTTGATCTCCTTGCAGTCCAAGAGACTCTCAAAAGTCTCCAACACCACAGTTCAAAAGCATCAATTCGTCGGCGCTCAGCTTTCTTTATAGTCCAACTCTCACATCCATACATGACTACTGGAAAAACCATAGCTTTGACTAGATGGAACTGTTGTCGGCAAAGTAATGTCTCTGCTTTTTAATATGCTGTCTAGCTTGTTCATAGCTTTTCTTCCAAGGAGCAAACGTCTTTTAATTTCACCGCTGCAGTCACCATCTGCAATGATTTTGGAACCCAAAAAAATAGCCTGTCACTGTTTCCACTATTTCTCCACCTATTTGTCATGAAGTGATGGGACCAGATGCCATGATCTTTGTGAATGTTGAGCTTTAAGCTAACTTTTTCACTCTCCTCTTTCATTTTCATCAAGAGGTTCCTTAGTTCTTCTTCACTTTCTGCCATAAAGGTGGTGTCATCGGTATATCTGAGGCTATTGATATTTCTCCCAATTCCAGCATGTGCTTCATCCAGTCCAGCATTTCTCATGATGTACTCTGCATAAAAATTAAATAAGCAGGGTGACAACATACAGCCTTGACAGACTCCTTTCCCGATTTGGAACAGTCTGTTGTCCCATGTCCAGTTCTAACTGTTGCTTCTTGACCTGCATACAGATTTCTCAGCAGGCAGGTCAGGTGGTCTGATATTCCCATCTCTTCAAGAATTTTCCACAGCTTGTTGTAATCCACACAGTCAAAGGCTTTGGCATAGTCAATAAAGCAGAAGTAGATGTTTTTCTGGAACTCTCTTGCTTTTTCGATGATCCATTTAATTTTTGGCTCTTCTGCCCTTTCTAAACCCTTCTTGAACATCTGGAAGTTTACAGTTCATGTACTATTGAAGCCTGACTTGGAGAATTTTGAGCATTACTTTGTTAACATGTGAGATGAGTGCTATTGTGCAGTAGTTAGAGTGCTCTTTGGCATTGCCTTTCTTTGGAATTGGAATGAACATTGACCTTTTCCAGTCCTATGGCCACTGCTAAGTTTTCCAAATTTGCTGGCATACTGTACTTTCACAGCATCATCTTTTAGGGTTCGAAATAGCTCAACTCGAATTCCATCACCTCCACTAGCTTTGGTCATAGTGATACTTCCTAAGGCCCACTTGACTTCATGTTCCAGGATGTCTGGCTATAGGTGAGTGATCACACCATC